CGCTCAGCAAAAGCTGAGGAGTGAATCTAATAAAAGAACATGAAGTGATAACCCATGTGGCTATACCCATATCAATACCTGTACTTAACGTACGGGACACCACACGTCACTAACTGTTTAGTTTTCACCTGTTAAAGCTGTTTCTAATAACAAGGAACATAATGATGATGATATGACTTGGTGCATGACTTAAACTATCAGGGACACCCCTGGCTTAGTCTCACTCGACAGGATCACCCCTGCACTCCGGTCATCGTTCCCGAACGGTAACGAGCCGGGCACGACGAAAACATCGCGAGTGGACTAGCGGAACCGGGTAGTAGCCGTAACCTGACTACTATGTACGTACACAAGCCCAACATGATGAAAACCCGCTGGTCCCCAGAGGTTCCTGGACGGGCCCACTGTAGTAGGCGCTTGAAGTCCTCCCTACAGCGGTATGCACATGATGGAAACCTAGAACATCCGTCTAGAACGAACATGTTGGAATGAATGCATTGATTAAAGAATATTCAATTCTTACATATGTGCTTGATTATGATTTGTTCAACATGATGGCCCTGGGTTCAGAACTGGCTGATAATCGATTATCTGCTGTTGATAATCGATTATCATGCTGTGCAGCTTCTGTCCCCAAAGTCCTGCAGACTGTGATGGTCGATTGTCACCTTATGAAAATCGATTGTCAAGTTGGTTTGTTCGGGAAGTCCTAAGTTCAGAGAGCCCTGATAATCGATTATTGCCTATGTGATAATCGATTATCAGTGAAGCCAACTCAGACCCAAGATTTCCGCAGGATAGTCGATTATCACATATGTGATAATCGATTATCACGCTGTGCTGAATCAATTGAGGAGTCCAGCGTGGCCTGATAGTCGATTGTACTATCCTCTAACTCGATTATCAAGGCACGCTGATTTCCATTTTATCTGTTTGTTTGTCATCAAACGTTGGAAGTTTTAGAAACGAATGTTTATATTTCCATGCTAGATAATCGAATAACTTACAAGGTTTCAAAACATTTATAATAACGAGTACATAACTTGATAACATGGACACACGTATGTTTGATGGTTAACCTACGAACATGCATAGATTCTACGTAGGTTGTGCACGATATTCCTATGAATATAACGACATAGATTATAACTAAATGTTCTAGAATTAGAGGGACAACTACTCACCTCTAGTTGAAGGAGTTGACGGAATGATAGGATGAGATGAACGAATGGATGAGGATGAATGACAAACGAGCGAACAAACTTCTTGCGTGAACCTTCTTCTTCTACCTCCCCGTCTACCCACCGGAATCCTCCTTGGGTTCGCTTGTTGCCTTGGCCGAATTGGGGAAGAAGATGGAGGGTGATGATGGAGACTTGATGATGAGTTAGTAATGGGGGGTTACAAAAATGGTGATGATGAGAATGTGGAGTGTATCTTATAATGATGGTGAGTTATGAGAGTTAATGGGGAATTGAATTTGGGAAATGGAAAAACATGGGCTGCACGTATGGATGGTGGAGGTTACAAATATTTATTTTACTCCGTTATGTAAAAATCTGACCTGAACCGTACGCGCTATTTTCCCCGAACGGGTCCGAATTGAGTTCCGTTTGTGTTTCTGGAATCAGACAGTCAAGATGAATTTAATGATATGATCAAATAATTTTTCTAAGAACTTTTGAATTTCCCAACTCCAATCCGGAACAGTAATTAATTAATTAAATTAATTAATTCTATTAGACCGGATTGGAGGGCGTTACAGTATATATATATATATGGGTAACCGTTTGGGCCATTAATGCTACATTGGGCCACACACCTACATTTAGTGATCATTTATCTATATTGTAGCATTTAAGTTTCACATTTTTTGTTAGATTTGCTAAATCTTGACCATTAATGCGCACCAAACATGCTTGGTAATATTCCATGTATCCCTCACATTAAATGCTGCCCCACACCACTTAATAATTACGTAGTATTTAATTCGATTACATCTTCAACTACAATTTTAAAATTAATTAAATATACAGTCAATTGCTACGGAGTATTAGAATAGGTGTGTGGCTCAATGTTTGGCTCATTTATTAGTGCATAGAACTTTTTTTAATATACTTTTTTCTTTATTAAAATATTAAGAATTATTATCTTACTTATTATATGTTCATTATAATGTTTTTTCTTTAATGCTACATTGGGCCACACACCTAGATTTGGTGATCATTTTTCTATATTGCATGCTTCACGTTTTTTTTGTTAGATTTACCAAATCTTGATCATTAATGGACACCAAGCATGCTTGGTAATATTCCATGTATCCCTCACATTAAATGTTACACTGTAAACGAAGTAATCAATACTTATCATCTTAGAGCCCCACACAATTTAATAATTACAGAGTATTTTAATTCGATTACATCTTCAAGTAAAATTTTAAAATTAACTAAATATACTTCCATAATTAGGTCATTTAGTATAATTAATTTTCGTTTTTATTAAAAAAAAAACTTTGTGTCATTCTCATAAGTATGATTTTTTTATATTTCGTATCACACACACAGACATATATATATACATATATAAGTTTTATATATTCTTACTTTACTTTTTAAGTACTCTTCAAAATTATGTTATAAATTCTTACTATAGATATACTCTATTTACTCCAAATAAATCTATTATGTATTTTTTGAGAGCAAAATATACAATATGTTTTTTAACAAATGTTGAAAGGAAAATATATATACATATATATGTGGTACGTTTGGGCAATTAATCCTACATTGGGCCACACACCTAGATTTAGTGATCATTTTTCTATATTGCATTCTTCACGTTTTTTTTGTTAGATTTACCAAATCTTGATCATTAATGGACACCAAGCATGCTTGGTAATATTCCATGTAACCCTCACATTAAATTCTACACTGTAAACGAAGTAATCAATACTTATCTTTTTAGAGCCAATAGCTGCGTTTCATTTAATAGAGCAATCTTATTATATTTTATATATATATATATATATATATATATATATATATATATATATATATATATATATATTCAATTTACCCTAAATATTTTTTCGCAATGTACCAAATATTTATTTTAAACAATTTTTCGCAATGTATTTATTCTTTCATACACTATACATTTCTACACGAAAAATAATTTTATATACACAAATATGTTTTGTAGATCTTTTGACTTACTTTTTTAATATGTAATTTTTATAGCTTATTGATATACCAATTTATAAATAAAATGATTTCAAAAAGTAATTCAAAATTTGCATACCCTTTTAAAATTTACCTATAGCTTGTAGGCAACATACTATATAGTAATTCGAAATTTGCATACTGATTTAAGCTTTTAGGCAACAACTTTATTGAAATTTCAAATGACACCTTCCCACGCGCATGTTTTAAAATCAAAGTGTCACGCAAATAGACTAACGTAATTCTTGATTAATTAGAGTAGAAAATGACGACAAAAGACAAATTTAGAGTACTCTAGGACATCGCCTAGGAATTACATACCACCTTTTGAAACCAACAAAAAACAAAAACTAACAAAAATAACAAAGGTGGTTAAAGGTGGTTAAAACTAACAACACTTCATGGAGCTTCACAGGCTGGCGGGATCCTTCTTGGTTTTCTTGGCCTCATTAGTAGATGATTCATCAAACAGCTCTCTCTTCACCGAGTCATTTTTGACAAACTCACCAATTCTTTTCGACTTGTTGTTGACACTCTGGGTGGAGCTTGGATCACTCGAACCAACCTAATAAAAACACAACTTTAATTAGTAACGTATAAATTTAAAAATTTTTGGATAACGTAACCGTGATAAAAATATTACCACTTCATGAACTTTCTGAATCAAATCCTCAAGAGATGCCCACAATCCTTCGCTTTCTTCATCAATTCCTTCATCTTCGACAACACTCAAGTCTTCATATTTGCTCAAGATCTTTGAATCTGTGACCAAAGATCTAACTCCAAACGCTCTTGGTCCAGTCCAGTGTTGACTCCCCTCTTCGGATTTCACTTGAATATGAAACAACCCTCGTAGACCAAGCAACCGATTAAGTTCAGCAGGGAGGAAATTCGGGTCCATCTCTTTCTGTAGAAAATCGATTAAAATTATATTTATCATGGATATTAGTTTAGACTAACTTTATTTGTTTAAAAAAATATTGATGTATTTCAAACCTCGAGCATGATTTGCCTTAGTAGAAACCCACTTGCACCCAAAAGTTCCGTGCACTCCAGATCCCAGAGTATGAACGAAGCATGACCAGTCGAATCATATACTCGAACATTGACCTTGAACCTATAATAAATAATGGTGTTAGGTAATGTGATCTTTAACCTACTGCTAATTATGGGAACATATTCACTTGAAACACTCTCTAATTTAGTTTACCTGTAGACTCCGTGCGGCATGGTAAAGTCACAACCTGAACACCTGAATTTATCCCCATCAGGAATGACCTTTTTGTTGCAATCAGTGCACCCTAAGTAGCACCAGTCACCCGAGTCATGAATCGATGCTATGTTCCCAACAACCCAGTAGGGGCCAGGCTGCACATACAACAAAGATACATTTCAATAAGTGCATTGTACATTAAATGTACAATATTGACTTCTTGTATATTAGGAAGAAGTGTTCATACATGTCATTTTTCAAAGTCACTAATCTTAAAGTTGTAATTGTATGCAACAAATGTTTAGATTGTAGTGCTTTACTCTAATTATTAAATTTTGACCTTTGTGGTGTCCAATAGAGCCTTGATTGTGGTAGTCTTCACAACACCTTCTTCCCCATATGCTCCACCGCTTAGAACGATACTACCTTCGTCCACCTGTGGAGGTAACCTGGTTCCATTTAACAACGCATTAGATTAGTAAATATACACAATGAACATTGTTCATTTTTATACATATTGAATTAATATACCTGGCTCTAAATTCAGTGACCTCATCAGAATTACCATCGAACAGCATCTTTGTAACATGAAACGCAGTAGAGACAGTGACAGCACCTATAAACATACGATGTAATTTAAATAGTTAGTTTACCCCTATAACGCCATGGGTAGCAAAAAAGAAATAATGTAAATAGTCAGTTTACCCCTATAACGCCTTGGGTGGCAAAAACTCAACAGCATGACAACCGGCTCATGGGCATTCTGGGTCAAACATCCCAGAAATTGATCAACATATTCCCCCCACAGGGTGCATCCCATACGATTCCCCCTATAGTAGCATAACGGGGACCAAATTAGAATCTATTATTTCAATTTAATTAACCGCTGATATTTTGTATAATATTTTAGCTTACTCATGGTCTTCTAGAGTAACTTCCATAAACTTGTGCTCTCTGCCCTTGATTAAGTTTGTTTGAATCTTGGTTCGGGCAACAATCTTTCCAATCACGTCTGCATAACAATTCTTGTGGTTACGTACTGGATCAAATATTGATAAATAAAAATTCATTTGCGAAATGCATGAAGGTAATTAGATTATTTTTGAAAAAGAATCAATTGGATCGTTTCAATTAAAATATAGTAAGAATTAATACCTGAAGCAATTGCTTAGCTATTCCCATAATTGATCACATTTATATTTCGTTATGCATTTGTGTACATGTTCTAAAGTGAAATTTGTCTATGTGTATATTTTGTTATGATTATGTGTTTGTGTCGTTATGTATTTGTGTACATATTTCATTGTGCAATCGGTTAACCAATGTGTCTTGGCATATTGTTGTGTACACATTTTAAAGCATAAAATGTGTACAAAATGTATATAAGTATATTAATATTCGAATCATAAAATGTATAAATACTTTCATAAATCCATCAATACTTTCGAATCATAAATTGCATCAATAATTTCATAAATGTTTTTATACTTTAATTATTATTGTATAAAAAAGCAATTGGTCAAGCAATCTGTCTCGACATAAGTCATTTTGTAAATGTATCAATACTTCATTTTTTTGAAGGACAAAGATTTTGTTTCGGCCACACATTATTTTCATAAAGAAGCTTAAGACTAAAAAAAAAGTTGTAAGAAATATTACCAATCAGAAGTTGATCATTCAAACATGGTTGACTTTGAAGAATTGGAAATGGATTCAAGTCGAACATCATCCGGGGGAAATTATTCCGATTTAAAGTTTTCACTTCGGTCTTTTTGAAAAAACCCAAGAGCTTATCATTGCTAGCAGTTTTCAACCTTTGATAATTATCATGGACAAAAACATTTCGAATGGCGTAAACACCACCCTCAATGATTTGCTTTTCAAACTTCTCTTTTTCCCCCGAGCAAGATGTGCGTGAATCCTAGTTCCCTAAAAAAAGTATACAAAATGAGATTATGAATTTTGGGTTGAAAAAAAACAAATGTAATAACTTGTAGAATACATTACATGCTCATCGTGAAAGACGATCTTCATGGAATCTCCACCTTTCGCCCATTTAGGAACGAAGTAAACCCGAATAGCTCTCAACATGAGAATCCAAGAATTCTTATCGCTGTTGAGTTCCGCAATTGGAGTGAACATTGACATGGACCTGTTTTCGGAATTTTGAGCCATATTTTTGGTATATATGAAGCTTACTCCGTATGTTAATATCACTGGTTTGGATGGAAAGAGGTGTAGGTTTGGATGGAAAGAGGTGTATATATATTATTTGGGAAAAGAAAGTAAGTTTAAGCACATTAAATGCTTGGATTTTGTAAATCTAACTATTAAATTGATAAGATGTAAAGCATTGATATGGCACACTTCCACATAAAGCATTATTACATTGCTTTATGGAGCTCCGCACCAAGCCGTCAAACGCAACCCAAAAAACTGTCAGCAGCATGCCCAATTCAGCTCCAATGTCGGCCCAAGTCCAGCAGCAAGGTCCGGCCCAATCGATGGTGGTGAAAAAGGCGGGAACACTATTCCTAAGAGCCTCTTACCATTGTATATAGGAGGATTAACCAGGTTTGACGAAATTTTTTTTAATTCAATTAATTTAAAAAGTTGTAAAGATTTTACTGATATGATATATTTATTATTCTATTAGAATATTATTTGTGTAAACATTGTTCATGCTATAATTAATTCATCTTACTTGTGGGAAGATTGCACCGTTCTCAAACTAACAAAAAATATGCTTCTTTTAAATTATGATTTCCAGAAATCAAAAGAGCTGCAAGAATTCATAGATTGGATTGCAAGTATTTGAGATCGTAAGGCTAGAGGTCTAAATGATGGTGTAGTTGATATTGCATTTCCCAAAACTAACATTGTAAGTTGTTGAAGCAGTATATGAATATATGATGTCAAAAAATAATGCAAAAGAACGAGTTTACTTTAGTCAAACACTGTTGTCAAACAAATATTAGCTATAGCTTAACTGATGATATACATTTCGATATTCCGCTAAGGCTAAGGCTTCATTCCGTTCAACTTATTTTTCCTGAACTGATCTCATTTTTTGTAGTTCTGATAAGATCTGATATGGTTTGATTGGATTTGATGTGATCTGATTAGATCTGATCTAATCTGATTTGATCTGTTTGGATCTGAACTTATCTCATTTGGTCTGATCTAATCTAATTAATTATGATTTGATTTATAATTCAAATCAATAATTTGAATTGCCTTTATAATAAAGTTCAAAAATTGTAATGATAATTCATATTATAATATAATCAATATTTTTATTTTATTACGGAGTATTATTTTTTAATAAAACGAAATTAGTTAATTCATATATTAGAATAATCATTCATATTATAATGAAATATTTTTTTTATTTTATGATTAATTTTTTGTGAAATGAGAATATTGATTTAGTATTTTAATAATTAGTTTATATGAACATTAGAATAAATATTTAATTTATATATACATTATAAAGTAATTAAATATAGATAATAAATATAGAGAAGACATGCTATTTTTATTAAAATATCTTATCCTTATAAAAGATCAAAAGTTTAGAAACTCAAATTACAGGTAGCAATAAAAATGTTATTTTAAAAGTAGAATAAGATTGACATTGTCAATGTATTTTAAAAATAATTTTTCTAACGTCTAATAATTAAGGATTACTTTCTCAGTTTTCTATTTAACTTGTTTCTAAAGTTTATTTTTTTCATCTTTAAGAATAATAATAAGGAAAAATTACCCAAAATAATCCCAACTTTACTCGGTCTTTCAAAAATAATCTCACCTTTCACTGTGATGCATAATAATCTCAACTTTACTCAAACTTACCTGTTTTGGGTCACCGTTAAGTTTCTAACGGAGGGATAACGGAAATGCCCATTTTAGGCAACAAAATGAAAGTTGGGATTATTTTTGATGAATTTTTGTTTTTTAATTTTTTTAAAAGTTTTTATTTAATTTTTTTGAATTACTTTCAACCTCCATTTCTTTTTCTTTTTTAAAGATTATTCTTACCTTAGAAAAAAATAGATATAAAAAATAATGAAAATGAGAAAAATAACTAAAATCATACAAAATTAATCAAATAAATAATGTAATCAATAGAAATTAAACAGAAACTGGTAATAAATAAAATAAATATATATGGAGTCGTGGGTTTAACATTTTACACACTATACGGAGTCTTAATGTACTACTTATTTTTTAAAAGAACAAGCCGTCCGGTAAAGTTGGAATTATTGTAGATAATTTTTTCTAAAAAATAAGAAGTGATATGTTAATGCTTTGTATAATGCCTAAAATATTAAACCCACCCATATATTTTTATTTTACTTTTTCCAATTTTAAGTTAGTTTCCATTGATTACCTTATTTAATTTATTATTTTTGTATCATTTTAGTTACATTTCTCATTTTTTCATTTTTTAAAACTATTTTTTTTATTTTTTAAACTAAGACTAATGTTTAAAAAAGGAAAAAGAAATGATGGTGGAGGTAGAAAGTAGTTTAAAAAATTTAAATGAAAATTTCAAAAAAAATTAAAAAACAAAAATTCATCAAAAATAATCTCAGCTTTCATTTTGTTGTCTAAAACGAGCATTTCCGTTATCCCTCCGTTAGAAACTTAACGGCGACCCAAAACTGGCAAATTTCAGTAAAGTTGGGATTATTATGCATCACAGTGAAAGGTGGGATTATTTTTGAAAGACCGGGTAAAGTTGGGATTATTTTGGGCAATTTTTCCTAATAATAATGATAATAATAATAACAATAATAATAATAGTAATAATAATAATAATTCTTGAAGGGATCTGATCTGATTCGATGTGATTTGATTTAATCTGCTCTGGTCTGATATGATTTTCATAAAAATAAGAAAAATAAGAAAAAATAAGTTGAACGAAACGAGGCTTAAGTGCAAGAGTAGGCTGACTAGCAACTTAGGGAAAAAGTTTGTCAGGCCAAACACACAATTCGTTGGAATTACAACCAAGTCTGTGACATACTATACTGAGTCACTCCCTCGATCTCGTCCTAACTTTTTGTCTCCATTTTCCTCTTCTTATACTTTGCTGATATTTAATTTTCATTGTGATACGGATAGTTAATTAGAATATTTTAATTAGTTATATTATTATTTAGTAGTTAATTATTATTATTTATCAGTATTTTATAGATTAGGGTTTTCGTATGGGCCCGAGCCCATTAGGTCATGTAGGTGTGGCGTCTCATCGTTATATATTGTAATCCCGTATTATTATCAATCAATCAATCAATAATCAAAAATTCTCTTAATCTCTTGTCTCTTTGTTCTTGGAGCCTGGAAACGCTCGAAGTTTTCCTTCTCTCTTTGCCTCCCCTTTCTTGGAGCCCGAAGACGCTCGAAGTTCTTCCCTATCTGATACGATACTCGTAACACATTGGTTTAAAAATAAAGTGTGTGTGTGTATACCTATGCTTTCTCTCTGTTCCTTTCAAAAAAACGCACAAAATATCATCTTTTTAAAATCGATATAAATTATTAATCTCAAACAAAACTTAGATATTTAAAAACGAAACAAATGGTCCACAAAGCCAATGGTGACATGCCAGTTTTATCGCTAAAATAGAAATAATGTATCACTGTATAACTTAATTTTATAGAGTTATCAGTATTCGAAATACATACTCAAACGGTGACATGTCAGTTTTATTTTACTCGTATCAAATAATTAATTAAAATGATACACAAAAATAGTTATCATAAAAAACCTCGCATATTACAAGTTTTACGGGATAACCTTTTTTTTGGTGCATGTATCACCAAGTGGAAAAAACGTAACGTCTTGAATAGAAATTGTATTGGAAACATTTAGGGGGTGTATTCAATCTTGATTTTATAAGATTCTGATAGATTGTTTACAATCTTTCAATTCTGTAAAGTCCATGGATTATTTAGAGATTATGCAGAGTTAAGTGGATTTTACTAGATTTTATCACCAAGATTTCATAGGATTCTAGTAGATTATTTATAATCCATGGATTATTACATTTGAATTATTTTGAAGATTCATACTTTACTCTAATATTAATTATATTTATGAAATTGATAAAAAGATTAAATTAAAAACTAATATAATAAAAATAAAAATATATTATTTTTTAAACATTATTATCTTATTATAAATTTATTAGCATAGAATAATGTATTGATCATTGTCATAAGCAATAAATTTGTTTTGAAACTCAAAACATTATTTTCTCTAAACAATTTTTCATGTATGTAAAATTTTATCAATAAAAAATAAAACACAACACAAATGATAGATGACATCACTCAAAAATTCAAAGAAATATTAAAAATAAAATTATTAAATAATCTAGCTCTCAAAAACAATGTAATAAAACACGAGTACTCCTAACTTTCAGCCAAAACAAAGTCACATAACACATTAAAAATAAATTCACATAATCCTTTCATTCATCCTAATATATCTTCTCATTTTATCCTCTCATCTTGTGCTGTATCCAACTTAACCGTTCTTCAGGTGACATCTTCAAGAAGACATCTTTTTTTCCTTTGTTATCAAGCAACTCAACCGCTTTACATCTAAGCCCGGGGTATCCTTGATGGCATCCCAAATTGTATATTTTCTCTCTCTTTCTCTTTTCTCTAGCAGGCTATAGATTCCTTTGAAACTTGTAGATATTTCATTTAGCATTTCCATGACGCCACTTTCTTCATATGTACTTCTATTTCTTTTGGTTTGTGTTACTTTTTGCATGGGAACCTCATGACTTTTAGGAGATATGAGCGGTGATGTGGACGGAAAAGGTGGGTCACTTTGAGGTTGGCTTATGAGTGCATCATTTTCCAAGTCATAATCAAGGTCGTCTATATGCACATCTCTCCCTTCTTCCGCGCCTAATGTCCTTGCATCAGTTGTACTACCTAACCCAATTGAGTTTTTTCCAACAGCTACATCATTACCTATTGCGATTTCCAAGTCTTCATAATCATGAAATGTTCCATAGCGTAATTTGTTGTTATGTTTTGGATGAGCCTATAAAACAACATAAAAACAAATTTATTATTGCATTACATTTATCAAAAGATTCATCTATTCAAATACTTTGTCATATAATATACTTACCTTGAAATAATCTGCCCATACTTCATCAGTGGCAGTGAACATCTTTGTAGTTGAGTTAAACCCAAAACCAGAGCTAAAACGCATAAGCTCTGAATAAGTGTTCCATTTATTTTTAAACCATTTCAATCGGCTTTGGTAATTGAGATAGTTCTTGTGACAACCCAGTCTTTTATTAAGCTCGGAAAGTATCCTCTCTTCCACTGTTTGCTTAGAAAAAATACCACTGTTATCACGCCATCCTCGAGCAGCGGCATCCACCATGAGCTCTAACAGTACATCACTTTCTTTGGTTGTCCATTGCTCATATCCTCCTTTTTTTTGGTATCTTGTTGTTGATCACTTGTGATTATATTGCTTTGAAAATAAAAAAAGAGTATATATGAAAATGCATAAAACAAGAAATAATGCTCATGTTGATTTAATACAAAACAAAATAAATAGTATCTTTATTTAAAAAATATGTTGTGCATCACCAATTCAGGATATTCAGCAAGGTTGTCTTCTGAGCTTATTCAACAAATAGTAATTTCAATGGTTTCTGAAATTTGGGGATATTTTTGTCCAGCCCACATTCTCACTGCCTGTAACATCCCATGTGTATGCAAGGGAGACAACATAGAGCTTTAGGGTGGAGTTAGAATACCAGTGTCTAATGAGACAACTGAAAAATATGGCAATTTTTTTGTAATACCAAGTCTCAGGACATCTCAACAGGAACTTTTTTTCTCTTATTTAAAGGCCAAGCCCAAATACAGAGTGCAACAAGAGTGACGAATTGACTCTTTTGATAAAAAAATAAAAAAATTAAGAAAAAACAGATTGAAGAGGAGACAACAAATATGCAATTCTAAAAAAAAAAAATACATAATAAAAAAGAAATTCATAATAAAAAAGAATTTCATTATACGGAGTAGTTTATTGGAGATAGAGAAATCTTACCGTGAAGGCTTGACGACGATAGAGAGAAGTTGGAGAAGAGAAAAACCTGTGCTCACGGAGGAGGAGATGGAGAAGATGAGCGGAAGAAGAGAAGAAGATTCGTAGGAGGAAGTGGAGTCGTGGAGAAGATGAGGCGGAAGAAAAGAGGGGCTTTTGGATTCCACACAATCCCTCCCTAGTCTTTCCTTTGGATTTGGAAAAATCTTTTTTATTTATATTTCATGCTAAGAATGCATCAAAATCTGTTTTTTATTACAACCCTTGAAAATCTATTGATTTTTTAATATCATTGGATTTCTTAAGATTTTTTAAAATCTCAATTGAATACCTCTAAATTTTAAAGGATTTTTTAAAATCTCAATTGAATACTCATTGACTTTTAAAATCCTAAAAAATCCTGCAAAGTCTAGATTGAATACACCCCTAAATAAAGTAGAAAGTAGAAGTTCTGTTTTGCAAAGAAAGCATGAAACCTACTAATAGGTACCCGTCCATTCAAAGAAGCTAAGACCAGTACAAAAAGAAGCATCTGTCCGTTAGTGGACTTTTTTTTATCTCCTTTAATTTGTTCTATGCGCACACTAAAATAAAAAGTGAGAGAAGAAAGAAAGAAAGATGTTCCCTAGTGCAAAAATGACAACAAAGAAGATAGAGGGGAAGGTGGTTTTGATGAGGAAGAATGTTTTGGATTTGAATGACCTGAGCGCCTCAATCGCCGATGATTTCTCTGATTTTCTTGGCCATAAGGTCTCCATACACCTCATTTCTTCCACTCGCACACCTGCCTCATCACCTAGTGATCCTAGTAAGTTTCCAAAGAAATTTGCTCAAGTCAGTGCAAAATTTTATAATCGCACTGACATTTTGTGTCAATGTAAATCATTAAAATATAAGTGTAAATCTTTAAAGTATATATATTAGGGTACAATCTTTGGGTAGGGAGAACTCGCGGATTAAAAACTATGAAAACAACATAATATGAGTTATAAGTCATTTAAACCAAGATATGAGTTTACACTATCATTTGTTACATTGTCAGACTCACCACATTGTCACATTGAAATTATCACTATCACCATCGCAATGTCATCCGTCGCCACCGCGGGTCGCCGACGATTGACTAATCACACTAATATATTACACTGTATCACTTTATTATTACACTATCAATGCGTGCTATTACACCACTTTGCAATTAGACTCTTATTTTGATCTTAAAAGATTTATGACTCTTATTCTAATATTTTCATACTTTTTACTTATATCCAGAGAGATTTCTTCACTTATTATAGCTTTGAAAAATTTATGGTGGGGAGAGACTTATGTACAACTTGATGTACCCCAAGCATTAGTCTTTGTTTTTAAATTATACGGAGTACAAGAAAACTTTTTTCGTCTCAGTGTATTCATTCAGTTTGTTTTTTTAGGTCAAATTAAACAAATTTCAAGATAAATCTAATGAAAACTTTTATATACTATGATAAATGACATTTTTATTTAATTGAAATCTTAAAATTCTAAGGTTTGATTCTAAAAGGTTACTCACTCCGTCTCAAAAAGATATTTCTGTTTTATTTTTTATGTATCTCATAAAACACATCTACTCACAACTAAAATGACTAAAATTTACTACATTTCATTCTTTTATTGTGGGAAGAGATTGTTATGAACGTTTTTTGGTCACGAGTAGAATGTTATGGGGTGACTATACTCAGTTCAACATTTTCATTTTAGAGCATTAGCAATGGTAAGACAAAAATGAAATGTCATACGGTGATATGAGTTATTTCAACTAATAAAAAATAACATAGTCACCGTGTGACAAATGAGTGAAGTGTCGTAACTTTTTAATGATTTTTAATCATCAAAAATTATTTTACACATCTATTTTATTATTAAAATATGTCTACTTCTTTTAAAAAATATTTTTTTCAAAAATTAAAAATATTAAAAATATTAAAAAAAAAAGAGATTCATATCTTGCACATGAAAAGTGAGGGGGAATGGTGATGTAAATGTAACACCATGATTTGAACGTTATTTGGTGGCTAGTCAAGGCGGCATTCCTTGCGTGAATGTTGTTAAAGAGAATGTTGTTAAAGGAGTTCATATTTTGCTTTGCATAATGAACTCCACAATTCACAGCAAATGGATCGAAAGAAGAACTCGGCACGACGGGTTACTTGGAGAACTGGGTGCTCAACAAAGCTCTTTTGGCCGACGGCAAGTCGGCGTTCCGTGTTTCCTTCGACTGGACTGAAGATTTTGGGGTTCCGGGAGCATTCATCATCAAGAACAATCATCACAACGAGTTCTACCTCAAAACCCTAACCCTAGAAGATGTTCCCAATCACGGCGATGTCCACTTCGTATGCTTCTCCTGGGTTTATCCGGCCAGCAAGTACCACTACGACCGCGTCTTCTTCTCGAACCAGGTTTATAGATACAGAATTTATACAACTTCGATTGATGTAGTTTTGATATGTACTGAGTATATAAATCTTGTTCCTTAATTTTGCCAAATATTCATTCATTTCTTCTCAATATTTCCTAAGAATTGATAATCTCAAATTTATGGTAAAGATTTGTTTGGTGCCCTCTTTAGATTTTAGTGAGTTGAAACATATTAGTATATTAGTGTATATATATTCTTTTTGTATTTGTATTCGGGCTCCTCGTTTGTATCACAAGAGGGCTCCTAGGTTCTATCTCCCGTGTACATTTATATAGGTCTTTGTATCAATGAATCAAACAACATTTCAGTTCCAAAATTCTACATGGTATCACAGCATTTTCTGGGATATTCCTCAAACTAGTTTTGTCCGTCCCTGTTTTCGATCGGCCGTCGGTGTCCCTGTCGTGCGTCCCCGTCCAAGACGCCGGGCCCAAATCGCCGATCGTCCGTCCCTGTTGTGGTCGCGAGTCTCCGGCCAGTCGCGATCGTTCGCCTTAGTTGTGGTCGCGGGTCTCCAGACGTCGGCCCCGTTGCAGTCTCCGCGTCCATCGCGCCGATTGAGTTCTCCGATCGTCGCCAATCAGTAGCCCAACGCATCAAGTCCAAGTCGCCATCTCTGCGAAGGAGATCGCCGTCGTCCAGCCGTCAATTATCGCCAGATCCTTTGGTCAGTCGTCAAAGTTCGTCGAAAAGAATTGCACAGTCCACTTGCAATATTGTTTTGTGAAAGTATTCTTTAGTTGGATTTCAAATTGGCCACACAGCAGCAAATTCAAGGGAGTATATCCACTCGCATTTTTTTTAGTTCAACATGTTTGGTTAATCTTTGGACCAATTGGATTTTGTCTGGCCAATTTGCTAGTGTGAGTAGTTGGTTACACTTTGAGGTATTTGTTTGGCCACTTCAAAGATATTGATGATGAATTCTATATCTTGTGACTGGTTGATTGATAGTGGTGCATCGCACCATATGACAGGAACCTTGTCTCATTTATTTCGTATTGAGGATATGACTCTTCAGTCTATTTGTCTCCGTGACGGTTCTCGTATCCAGGCGAGCAAAAAGGGAAGCGTGTGCTTATCTCCCAGTTTGGTTCTCCATAATGTTTTATATGTCCCAAACTTGCACTGTCATTTGGTTTCTGTTGGTTGGTTGTTTGGTTCAAGAAACTACTTGTCATGTTATTTTTAATGATCAATGTTGTGTAATACAGGACCGTTTGTCGAAGACGGAGATTGGACGAGGTGAATTGCGAAACGGAGTGTACGTCTTTGCCTCATACCCAGCGTCAGCCCTTGTTGTCAAGTCGGATCCATTCATTTTACACCAACGATTGGGTCACCCTTCCTCTGATGTTTTTCCCTTTCTTGGTTACAATAAAACAGGTTCTGTTATCAAGAAATTACAAACATGTGAAATTTGTTTTCTGTCTAAGCAAACTCGGTCATCCTTTCCCATGAGTCATAATAAAGCTCACTCCATTTTTGATTTAATTCATTGTGATTTATGGGGACCTTATTCTGCTTGTATATCATCTGGGGCACATTATTTTCTTACTATTGTCGATGATTTTTCTCGAGCTGTTTGGGTGTATCTCATAAAACACAAAAGTGAGGTCACATCTTGTCTCAAACGCTTCTTTGCTATGATAAGCACCCAATATTCCAAAATTATAAAAGTGGTGCGCTCAGACAATGGTACTGAATTCCTTAATGCCTCTTTGCGTCAATACTATGATGATTTGGGTGTTTGTATTCAAACCTCTTGTGTGTAGGTACACCACAGCAAAATGGTCGAGTCGAACGAAAGCATCGTCATATATTAAATGTCGCTCGGTCTCTTACGTTTCAAGCATCACTTCCAGTTGAATTCTGGGGGGAGTGTGTCAAAACTGCAGTCTATCTCATCAACCATACTCCTACCAAACTTCTCGAGGGTAAATCTCCTCTTGAGATTCTTTCCTCTAAACCACAAGATTTAAGTCATCTCCGTGTCTTTGGTTGTTTGTTCTTTGTTCGTCGAATGCCAAAACCCTCAGATAAATTTTATTCCCAAAGTGTGAAATGTATGTTCGTTGGTTATCCTTACGGTACCAAAGGATGGAGAGTATACAATCTTGAAACTCATCAATTTTTTCACACTCGGGATATCTCATTTGATGAAACCCAATTCCCCTTTGCCCAACCTACACGGTCCTCGTCACCTCTACCCGTCTTGAAGCCATCGACGGAGGATTTCCCAGCCACTGTCAACCCGTCCCAGCCATCCACAGCTGTTCCTCCAGTCACGTCTCAGCCCACCACCACCACTCCACAACCGCAACATACATCGTCCACCAACTCTTCTCCATCGTTGTCTCCTTCGGTGTCTTCGTCCTCCAACACCGTCACCTCCTCCCCTTCCACCACGTACTCGGCGTCCTCCCTCCCATCTCAGTGACTATATTCTTCATTCCGCCAAAGTCGACACTCCTGTTCCCTCTTCATCTGTTTTGTCTTCGTCAAGTACACGGTATCCCATTACTCACTTTGTTCATTATAACAAATTGCATGATAGGTACAAAAGTTTCTTGGGTGCAATTGATGCCTCTCCCGCTCCTAAAACTTTCAAAGAGGCTGTTCAGTATGCTTCGTGGCGTGAGGCTATGGCTCAAGAGTTCTTGGCTTTAGAGCGTAATCATACTTGGGATATTACTGACTTCCCTCCTAACCGGCGTGCCCTGGGTTGTCAATGGGTGTACAGGACCAAATATAAATCTGATGGTACCAAGGAACGGGATAAAGCTCGGTTGGTTGTATTGGGAAATCACCAGGAGTTTGGGATTGATTTTACTGATACTTTTGCTCCCGTGGCCAAATTAGCCACTGTTCGTGTGTTATTGTCTGTTGCAGTGGCTAGGGGTTGGCAGGTAGATCAGTTGGACGTCAACAATGCCTTCTTACATGGGGATCTTCGTGATGAGATCTGTATGAAGATTCCTCCTGGATATGAGCAGCTATTTCCCGGGAAGGTTTGCCGTTTGCGCAAATCATTATACGGGCTCCGTCAGTCTCCCCGTAATTGGTTCACTAAGCTTCGTATAGCCTTACGCCGTTGTAGTTTTCGTCAGGCTCATGCAGACATACTCTTTTTGTGTTATGTCGTGGGCCGGATATGTTGGTGGTTTTGGTCTATGTGGATGACATTCTTGTTGCTGGTAATAATCCTTCTCTGTGTTCGTCATTCAAGAAATATTTAGATGAATGTTTTCATCTCAAAGATCTTGGACCCGTTTCCTATTTTTTGGGCATCGAGTGTGCTCGATCTCGGGAAGGCATGGTCCTGAATCAGCGTAAGTATGCTCTTGATATTATCCAGGAGGCAAATTTATCGGGTTGTAAGCCCGTTGACACCCCGTTACCTAGTAATCACAATCTCGCACGGTCTACTAGTGCCGAGATATGGATCCGATGAAGTATCGTCGTCTTGTGGGTCGTCTGTTATATTTGACTATTACTCGTCCAGATATATGTTATGCCGTGCATGTCTTGTCTCAGTTCATGCAGTCTCCACGTTTGGATCATTGGTTTGCTGCCTTGCGTGTGGTTCGCTACCACAAAGGCCATCCTGGACAGGGTATTTTGTTACGCAGTGACAGTAACCTTGCTCTGACTGCCTTTTCAGATTCAGATTGGGCAAGTTGTCCTCTGACGCGTCGTTCTGTTACCGGTTACTTTATCTTACTTGGAGGGTCACCTGTCTCTTGGAGAAGTAAGAAGCAAAATACAGTATCTCGATCTTTCGCTGAAGCCAAGTACCGGGCTATGGCGAACGCCTGTAATGAGATTCGTTGGCTACGGGGTCTCCTCGCCGCTTTATATGTCCCATGTGTTGTCACTCCTAAATTATATTGCGATAATAAATCTGCTTTGTTTATTGCAGCTAATCCCGTGTTTCATGAACGTTCGAAGCATATTGATATTGATTGTCATATTGTCAGAGAATGTATTCAGCGCAATCACATCGTCACAGCTTATGTTCCCACACGATTCCAAACAGCAGATATTTTCACTAAAGCTCTTCCTGGACCATTATTCCATTCTTTGTTATCCAAGTTGGGCATTTTTGACATTCGTGCTCCAACTTGAGGGGGAATATTAGTGTATTAGTGTATATATATTCTTTTTGTATTTGTATTCGGGCTCCTCGTTTGTATCACCAGAGGGCTCCTCGTTTCTATCTCCCGTGTACATTTATATAGGTCTTTGTATCAATGAATCAAACAAGCATTTCAGTTCCAAAATTCTACAAAACATTAACTTGACTATTGATTTAATCAATTCTTGCAGGCGTATCTACCTAGCCAAACGCCTGTGCCATTGAAGCAATATAGAGATCAGGAATTAGTGAACTTGAGAGGGACTGGGAGTGGTCAGCTTAGGGAATGGGATAGGGTGTATGACTATGCTTATTACAATGACCTCAGTGAGCCTGACAAAGGTCTCGAATATGTTCGGCCAGTCTTGGGTGGGAATTCGAAGTATCCTTATCCCCGACGAGGAAGGACAAGCAGAGCACCAACTAAAACTGGTAACTTATCTGCAGCCTTAATATGTTTACTATGGAGTATTTTCTTTTCTTTTTTTTGGCATGTCTTATTTCAAAAGTCCCCTTATTATTGCCTTGCCAGATCCTAATACTGAGAGCAGAGTTCCACTGATTCACAGCTTAGATCTTTATGTTCCAAGAGATGAGAAATTCGGATACTTGAAATTAGCAGATGCTCTTGCTTATGCATTGAAATTTCTTGCTCAGTTCCTTCACCCTGAATTTAAGTTCTGTTTGATTCCTCTCCAAATGAGTTTGACAGCTTTCAAGATATACTTAACCTTTATGAAGGAGGTATCAAGCTGCCGCAAGGTCACTTGCACAAATTCATCACTGATCACATTCCCATTGAAATGCTGAAAGAAGTTCTCCGGAGTGATGGGGAGGGACTCTTTAAATTCCCGACCCCTTTTATTATTCAAGGTGTTTCAAAATCATTTTCACTTGCTTATTATGTGTTTTATCCCTTTGTTTTATCATACTTACATTTCTTGTTCATAATCTTCCTTTTGGTGCTGAAATAGAGGATAAAACTGCATGGAGATCGGATGAAGAATTTGGAAGACAAATGCTGGCTGGAACGAACCCTGTTATTATTTGTCAGCTACAAGTAGATTAATCTCTCTCAATGACTTAGCTTTTTTAAATTTTTTCCTAATGAAAATGAAAAATATGGTTTGTGTGTGTGTATCACACATTCAAATGTTCAATATTGATCCTTAAGTTTTTAAATTTTATAACTAAACTAGGAGTTCCCGCCAAAAAGCAAACTAGACCCTAAAGTTTACGGAGATCACACCAGTAAGATTACGAGGGAGCACATCCAAAAGAACCTAGGAGGTTTTTCAGTCGAGGAGGTAATTTAATATTTTTTTTGCTTGTACTTACTTTATAGAACCAATTGATTGTTTTCTTATTATATATTCCCACCGTCCCATAATTTAATGTTTGAACTTTGATTTCATGGAGTTTAAGAAAAATACTGAAAAGTAAAAAGTGAGTGGTTCAAATTTGATTAAAGAGAGAAAGATCTGAGCCACATTTTCTATTCTAAAATAGGAAAATTGAGAAGTGTGAAGTTTCTTTTGGGACAACCAAAAAGAAAGTGTGAATTTTATTTTGGGACAGAGGGAGTATTGAGTTAACAATGCCATGTTATTTTTCACAGGCAATCAATAATAAGCGGCTATTCATAGTGAACTACCATGACATGCTTATGCCATACTTGAGGCGCATAAATGAAACAAATAACAAGGTATACGCCTCAAGAACTCTGTTCTTTTTGCAAACTGATGGAACTTTGAAGCCAGTAGCAATTGAGCTCAGCTTGCCACATTCACTTGGAGATAAATTTGGTCTTGATAGCAAAGTGTACATCCCATCTGGACATGGGGTCGAAAATGGGTTGTGGCAATTGGCTAAAGCTTATGTTAATGTGAATGATTCAGGTGTTCATCAGGTGATCAGCCACTGGTATGTGCCTAGAATTATATTGGAAAAAAAGTTGTTGAATATATTAAGTATTCCTTAAATTCTGATTTTGAAACACTATCACAGGCTGAACACGCACGCAGTAATTGAACCGTTTTTGATAGCGACAAATAGACAATTGAGTGTGCTTCACCCGATATATAAGCTTCTGCATCCCCATTTCCGTGACACAATGGCTATAAATTCTCTGTCTCGGCAAATCTTGCTTAATGCTGATGGAATTTTTGAGAAAACACTATTCCCTGACAGATACTCATTGGAAATGTCTGCTGCTGTCTACCGGGACTGGGACTTCACTAGCAAAGCTCTCCCAACTGACCTTGTTAAGAGGCATGTCATTATTCCCTTAAAAAATATGCCCTCTCTCACTTCTCTTGGTATTACAACCCTAAATTAAGTGACAGGGATTGTAAAAGAGAAATTTTTTAACTTGCGGCATTTGATGTTTCAGAGGTGTTGCTGTTGAGGACTCAAGCTCCCCACACGGTGTTCGCCTACTGATAGAAGATTATCCATTTGCAGTTGATGGTCTAGAGATATGGTCATCTATCAAAACATGGGTGGATGAATATTGCAAAATCTATTACAAATCAAATGACCTTGTTCAGAATGATGTTGAACTCCAAGGTTGGTGGAAGGAACTGAGAGAGGAAGGACACGGTGATTTGAAAGACATGCCGTGGTGGCCTAAAATGCAGACAGTCCAGGAGTTGATCGACTCATGCACCACTATTATCTGGATAGCCTCTGCTCTTCACGCAGCTGTCAACTTCGGACAATACCCTTATGCAGGTTATCCCCCTAATCACCCTGCAATAAGCCAAAGATTCATGCCCGAGCCTGGATCTGCTGACTATAAGGAGCTTGAGGTTGACCCAGACAAGGTTTTCCTCAAAACCATCACCCCTCAGCTGCAGGCATTGCTTGGCATTTCCCTTATCGAAGTTCTGTCAAGGCACACTTCAGATGAGGTGTACCTAAGGCAAAGAGAGTCCTCTGAGTGGACAAAAGACCAGGAAGCACTTGATGCATTTGCACGATTTGGGAAGAAGCTTCGGGATATTGAGGATCACATATATAAAATGAACAGAGAGGGGAAACAGAGGAATAGGACCGGACCTGTGAAAATGCCTTACACCTTACTCGTCCCTACAAGTGAACCTGGTCTCACTGGCAAAGGTATTCCCAACAGTGTCTCCATATAGAGCTTCTTCAATTATGTGTGTATGACCACTCTTGAATGGTCTATATGTGTGCTAGTTTTATTTTAAATAAATTTGTCCCGTGAAAGCAGTGACGTGTTTGTGAAGAATGCAAGTGAAGAATAAAATTACCTCTGAACGAGTAAACCTCAAATGGAACACATTGCCATTCTATGATTTATCTTTATAAAAAAAACTGTCACAAAAATATTACTCCGTATTTGCTAGGAATGATCATGTCAATCGTGCCTGCAAAAATGCTCACAACCGTAGAAATCATTTGTCTGGTATATGTGGGGATCTGGAGAAATGTTCTTATATATATCAACTTTGGTAAAAGATAAGAGCCCGGTTCCATGGCCACTGGAATCCAGTGGCCATGAAACCGGGCTCAAAAGGTAATTAATATTTTGAAAGAATTTATAAATCTAACAATCAAACTTTCACCCATTGGCTATTAGTTTTTAAGTTTACAGTACAAATTTGCACAACAAAGATCACAATAATCATACTACCAACTCATTTGTTAATTAGAAATTGAGTTTGGTAGATCCTGGTTCAACCATTGAGTTTGAACTTCTTTGCATAAATTGAACAAGTGGTCCACAATTACAGTAGTGATTCTTAGCGCAAATACAATGTTTGTCACCACAATCTGAATCCTTAATGCACGTAGAAGGAATATTCCTAGCCCTAACTTTTGGTACCATATTTGTGAATGTCAAAAGTATTACGGAGTATAATTCTAAGTCAATCCCATATAAAAGATACTCCCTCCGTCCCAAATTATAATGTCTGTTTACTATTCACAGGGTCAAACTTTATTCACTTTCTTTCTCTATTTTCGTTAGCAATTTGATAAAATAAAATATTATTGTTACTACTAGTTTTGTAGATCTTTTGATGTAGTTTTTTAATATGTAATTTTTATTTTTTAATTCTATACCATTTGTCATATAAAATGGTTTGAAAATAATCTCAGTCAAACATCGTAAACCGAAACAGGCGTTATAAATTGGGACGGAGGTAGTAATATATATAGCCATTTAACTAAATAAATCAAATCACCTAAAAAATGTCACTACAATAATCATGAAAAGTATTATATTTACTTTAGAAGTATTTACATGTTACTTTAGAAGTTAGTTTGTTGATCCCATTTGTATATTCTCTACAACTCAATGTATGTTGGAGATGCTAATCTTCAAGATGAAATTCAGCTTCAGTTGAAAAAATAAAAACATCTAGCTTGAGAAAAGATACACCTAATGTGTGGTAATTATAACAAATTATTCAAGTAAATGTTAATATGTCGAATTATGTGTTACAAACAAATACCCAAAATGTATTTTAATTTAATGATTTCCAATAGTTGCACATTTGCACCTTCCGAAAAGTGAAAATTAATAGTAGGAACCATGGTAATCAAAATCGCGATCCGGATCGTACGATTGTACGATTTTAGAGATTGCTAGGGGGTTTTCGATCCAACTCGCCCTCAAAATCGCAAAAATCCTTTGGGTCAGAAGAATCGCTGATCTGGTTCGTGCAATCGCAAGAAATCGTAAAAAGAAAAGAATCGGAAATTTGAAAAGCCCTATTTTGGTGTTTTGATTTTGTTGATTTAGTCGCTTCAATTATTTCGCAACTTCCAATTTGAATCGTGATGATTTCGCGACTTCCAATTCGACTATTTTGTCGCTTCTAGCCTTCTCCCTTCTAGCGCGGCAAAGCTTGTTGCCCTGCGCGTCTCCTCCGCGTCTCAATTTTTGCCCAGATTATATTTATAATTTTTAAATATATATGAGTGTGGGTTATACTCTAAAAGGGTAATATAGATTATAAAAGGGTAAGTCATTCGTGATATCCAACTTGAACTTGTGTTATGTTTTATTAAAATTTAATTAACACACATACACACACGAATTAAATAAAGTGCGCGGGAAAGACTTGTGTTGATTTGTGGGGCCAGTCTATAATCCTATGAGCAGACACTTACGGCCAGGGTGGGTTTGGGTGTTACAAATGGTATCAGAGCAAACCTGCGACCGTGAGGGACCAAAAGATCTTAGTTCACCCACTAGGGAAGATCTAGGGGTTTGAAAAAAAGGATGCAACGAGGACGTTGCATTCTTAAGTAGGGGTGAATGTAATACCTTGTATTAAGATGGGAATAGGAAGAGCTCAAAAGGATTGATAGTACTACTCATATTAAAAGGTGCATCTTCTTTTCGAGAGCTTATCACTTAGATACTCCAAAGTTAAGCGTGGTTGACTTGGAGCAATTCTAGGATAGGTGACCCCGCGGGAAGTTCCTTGGGCACGCACAAGTGAGGACAAAGTGCACGGGAAAGACTTGTGTTTGTTTGTGGGGCCAGTCTACAATCCTATGAGCAGACACTTACGGCCAGGGTGGGGGTTTGGGTGTTACAATCTCTATGTAGTATTTAATCAAAATACTACAAAAAAAGGCCAAACATTTTATTTAACTTAGATGGCTACAACTTTGAATCTAGACGTTAGAGGTCCTGGGTTCGAATCCCTCTACCCTCATCTTTTATTTTTGTTTTCGGATTTGAACAAATTAATATTTGGTCGGATTCGGGTACTTGACTGGTTTAAGATATTTAATCGGATTCGAATATATCCGAAATCGAAAAATATCCGTCGGTTACAGATTCAGATATAGAAATGTAAATATCCGTCGGATACGGATTCAGATATTCCAAAACTTAATCGGATTTGGATTCGGATATGCCATAACCGTGACGGATATTATCCATTTAGAGCCCTAAAATAATATAGTCATGTCACATCTTATTTTGTTGATCTTTTGATGTAATTTTTAAATATGTAACTTTTATTTTTAAATTCCACACCTTTTTTCATATAAAGGGATTTGAAAATAAATTCAGTCAATTGTCGTAACTTACAACGGGATGATAATTCTTAGACGACAAATTCTTTGTAGTTCTTGTGTCCATGTTCATTTTATGAACCTTCACACATAAAATCATTTCATGTGATGGGCATAAAACTAAGGTGATTCAAGTATGAGCCCGTTGAAAATATGTGAGAAGGTTCACATTTTACATCTTGATCTAAAGACCACAATAGCACAACTCTCTTTGGTTAGAGGGAGTAATACCAAAGATGGATACATAATGTATGATTTATTGTTTTTTCCCAACTTATACAAAGTAATAATAAATGGCCAACAACTTTCCAATTGGGTTCATAAGAAAGTTTTTTAATGTATACATTATGAATCTCTCATTGTGGTTATAAATAGGGCAAACTAAAAATAAATATACTCCAAAAACTTTAGTCTCAAAACACAAATACTACTTTCCAACAAAACAATCCTCATGAATTCTAAAATGATATCTCTACTCTTTGTTCTCATGGTGGCCGCAGTTCGTAAGTAAATTATTTTATATAATGAATAAAATAAATTAAATAAATCTAATTTGTAAAATTTCATTAAATCAGTTCCTTTGAAACAATGCATTTCGTGAAACGCAATTCTATGTCTATCCCATAAAAAGATTTAGATTTGCCCCTTCTATTAATATTCACTTTTGGTTAGGTGCTAGTGTCAACCTATTGGAAAGCATTAAATTTAAATACATTTTTTGTGTTTGTTTTTAACATATAATTTGACATATTAACTTTTTTTTAGAGTAATTTGTTATAATTACGACACACTTTATGCATATCTTTTTTCGCAATGGAGGTAGATGTTTTTCAACTTAAACCGAATTCTATCATTAATGAATAACAACCATCTCTAATTAACATACATTGAGTTAGAGAGAATATGAAAATGGGATCAACAAAATAAATTTTGAAGTAACATCCTAATATACTATTGAATACGTAACGTAAATATCTTCTATTTTAGCGATATATTTATTTTAGCGATTTTATTTATATGTATATATATTCAGTTATATTTTATATGAGAGTGAATAATAATTACAATATTTTTGACATTCACAGATATGGTCCGAGAAGTTAAGGCTAGAAACCTTCCTCCTTCGTGCCTTAAGGATTCAGATTGTGGCGACCCACATTGTATTTGCGAAGGAAATCACTATTGTAATTGTGGACCACTTGTTCGATTTATGCAAAGAAGCTCAAGTCCAATTGTTGAATCAGGATTTGCCAAGCCCATTTTCTAATCAACAATTAAGTTCATTTTATTTTAATAAAAAAGTTGGTTGTATCGTCTCTATGATCTTTTTGGCATGAATTTGTACTGAAATTTAAAATTAAAACTAATAGCCAATGAATGAGAGTTTAATTGTTAGATTTATAAATTGTTTGACAATCCTTACAAGAAAAGTGCAATATTGGCACGACAAAATTAATGAATAACAACCATCTCTAATTAACCATCTTTAATTAACATACATTGATACTCAATGAAGAATATATGTAATCACAATTAAAATAAATGTTGATGCTAATTTGATTAATTCAAGGCGCATTCCCTAAAAAAATCAAGGTGCATAATCCTTAAATTATGTTTTTAAGTCATTTATTAAACCAAATTAATGTAAAAATATCGTGAAAATAATATTTACCGACAATAATAATGTTTTTTGCTCTAGAAGATACTTAGCCTTTGTTCTAAGGGGGACAAATTCACTGGTAAGTAAATATATTTACTCTACACTCTTACGATCCAAGGTACTCAGCCTTTGTCACTATGTTTTAGTACTATTTAAGTAAAATCACCTTCTTTTTTACCCCACAGCCACCTCCCAATAGGGCTGGACACGGTACCGGTTCGGTACCATCACCGGAAACGGTACCGCCGGTACCGAGCACCGTGACGACTACCGGGACGGCTTAACGGTTCCGAGAACCGGCACCGGTACCGCCACATCCGGTCTCGGTTCCGGTGCCCCAAAATCGTTACCGGCACCGCCGGTGCCGGTTCCGGTACCGGTTATATATTTTTTTTTCTCCTTTTTGCTCTCCAACAGAAACCTGCAAAAAAAAAAACA